GGGCCAGGCTTGGATCCCTTTCCCCGACATGGGGGCCTAGCTCTGCAGCCTGGCCCACCGGGCCTGCACCCTTTCCCTTTTCATCCGAGCCTGGGCCCCCTGGAGCGAGAACGTCTAGCTCTGGCAGCTGGGCCAGCCCTGCGGCCTGACATGTCCTATGCTGAGCGGCTGGCAGCTGAGAGGCAGCACGCAGAAAGGGTGGCGGCCCTGGGCAATGACCCACTGGCCCGACTGCAGATGCTCAATGTGACTCCCCATCACCACCAGCACTCCCATATCCACTCGCACCTGCACCTGCACCAGCAAGATGCTATCCATGCAGGTGAGACCCCTCCTTCCTTGCCCTGCCCTGCGGGACCACCTTCCCTGCTGTCATGACTGGGCTCTTCTCTTCTGGCCAAGACTTCCCTCCCCTAGCCTGGCATGAATCTTTCCTAACAGTGCTGCCCTGATATTTGCCTTCCTGACATTCTCTCAGCCTTCTCTCCTGGCATCACCTGGCCACAGAGCCTGTATTCCCCACGCCCCAGTCTTCTCTGTAGTCTAGTATCCTACCTGTGACAGGCCCAGGTGGGAGCCTTTGAAGGACACACCTTTTTATCCTCACAGCCCCATTACCCCAAGCCCTTCACAAACCTGTTACGTTTTTTGAGACATGATCTCACTCTGTCACCCAGGTTGGAGTGCAATGGCACAATCACGGCTCACTGCAGCCTCGACTTGCAGGCATAAGTATCCTCCTACCTCAGCCTCTGGAGTAGCTGGGACCACAGGCGCGTGCCACCAAGCCTGGCTAGTTTTTGTATTTTTGGTAGAGATGGGGTTTTGCCATCTTGGCCAGGCTGGTCTCAAATTCTTGAGCTCAAAGCGATCTACCCATATCAGTCTCCCGAAGTCCTGGGATTATAGACGTGAACCACCACGCCAGACCCACAAACCTATTTTCTCATTTCTTTGCATTCAATTTTTTTTATTTTTATTTTTTTGCCATTCGCTCCTTTCTTCCCAGTGGGAGGTCTTTCGTGTTCTTCTCCGTCTCTAGATCTGTAACTTTCTGGAAAGGGCCCTGCAGCTTTGGATTTGGGTGTCATCAGTGATAATGAGCTTTACTTACTGTCCTTTCACTGTATTTTTTTTTTCTTTTTTCTTTTTTTTGAGATGGAGTTTCGCTCATTACCCAGGATGGAGTGCAAAGGCACGATCTCGGCTCACCACAACCTCCGCCTCCTGGGTTCGGGCAATTCTCCTGCCTCAGCCTCCCGAGTAGCTCGAGTTTACAGGCGTGCACCACCATGCCCAGCTAATTTTTTGTATTTTTAGTAGAGACGGGGTTTCACCATGTTGACCAGGATGGTCTTCGATCTCTTGACCTCATGATCCACCTGCCTCGGCCTCCCAAAGTGCTGAGGCCACCGCACCCGGCCTTCACCGTATTTCTTTCTTTTTTTTTTTTTTTGAGACGGAGTTTCGCTCTTGTTACCCAGGCTGGAGTGCAATGGCACGATCTCGGCTCACCGCGACCTCCGCCTCCTGGGTTCAGGCAATTCTCCTGCCTCAGCCTCCTGAGTAGCTGGGATTACAGGCACGCGCCACCATGCCCAGCTAATTTTTTGTATTTTTAGTAGAGACGGGGTTTCACCATGTTGACCAGGATGGTCTCGATCTCTTGACCTCGTCATCCACCCACCTCGGCCTCCCAAAGTGCTGGGATTACAGGCTTGAGCCACCGCGCCCAGCTCACCGTATTTCTTATAGTCGGTTGTCGACCTAGCCTTACAGTCATATTTATTCCAGGCCCCTTGTGTGCTTTCTCCTCTTAATCTCTCTTCCTTTTTTTTTAAATTTGAGATGGAGTCTCGTTCTGTTACCCAGGCTAGAGTGCAGTGGCATGATCTTGCTCACTGCAGCTTCCACCTCCCAGGTTCAAGCGGTTCTTTTGCTTCAGCCACTCGAGGATCTGGGATTACAGGCCTGAGCCACTGCACCTGGCTTCTTCCTGTCTTATTTCCTAAAATTCTATCTTCTACCTCCTTTAAGCAGTGTGTCTCTCCCTCTCTCTCCCCTCAGACCCTTCTGGTGACTGTAATCTCCTGTCCTCTGTCATCCATATGTCCTTACTCCAGTAGGGCTCAGCCTGTCCTACCCCCAGGCCTCTAGTTCTTCCACTCGGCCTTTGTTCCACTTTGGAGCTCCTTGTGTTTGTCCGTCTCACTTCCCAGGCTTGGAGCCCTTCACCCAAATGCATGGTTTTCCCTAAACCTGCCTTCTGGTGACGCCTTCCTCTTCTCTGCCCTCCAGCCTCTGCCTCGGTGCACCCTCTCATTGACCCCCTGGCCTCAGGGTCTCACCTTACCCGGATCCCCTATCCAGCTGGGACTCTCCCTAACCCCCTTCTTCCTCACCCTCTGCACGAGAACGAAGTTCTTCGTCACCAGCTTTTTGGTAAGAATGGAGGTTGGGGTAGGGAAGCTCTAATGAGAAGAGGATAGAAAGGAGGTCTTTGGGTGGGGGCATGGGCCTAGCTGGGCTTGGGGAGGGATGAGGAGGTGCCTAGAGGAGCTGGGCATGAGACTAGGAAAGCTGAAGCTCTGCCCAAGAGAAGCACAAGTTTTAGCGTCAGGCTAAGAAGTTCGAATCCCAGTTCCACTCTGCCACTGGCAACTTGGAAAACTCGTTGTGCTACCTAACTTTTTAGTTCATTACCTTTGTATGTAAAGGGGCTGGCTCTGCCCTGGTCCAGAGCAGGTACTTGGTATCCATCGGTCTTGTGCCCCTTGCCCTTCCTGCTCACAGCTGCCCCTTACCGGGACCTGCCGGCCTCCCTTTCCGCCCCGATGTCAGCAGCTCATCAGCTGCAGGCCATGCACGCACAGTCAGCTGAGCTGCAGCGCTTGGCGCTGGAACAGCAGCAGTGGCTGCACGCCCATCACCCGCTGCACAGTGTGCCGCTGCCTGCCCAGGAGGACTACTACAGGTACTCCAGGGGGCCCAGCCCAGGGGACAGGGGCTCATCCGGGGCGCCTCAGCCCAGGGAACAGGAGCCCAGGGAGCCTGGGGGGTGGGGGGTGGGGGCTGTGGCATGGTGTAGCTGGGCACCGTGCTCCTAGGGGAGGGAAACCTTCCTCTCCCAACCCCTTGGGTAAGAGGGAGCAACGTCAGGGTTGGTCTCAAGTCTCTTACCTCTCTGCTATGCACCGCCCCTTCCCTAGTCACCTGAAGAAGGAAAGCGACAAGCCACTGTAGAAGTTGCGATCAAGAGAGCACCACGGCTCCTACGTTGGACCTTGGAGCACCTCCCCGCTCCCCCCCACCCCACCCTTGGCCTGCCACCGAGAGCCAAGAGGGTGCTGCTCAGTTGCTGGACAGAGGGAGGGAGGGACGGAGGGACGGACAGACAGACAGACAGAAGGCCAAGGCCAGGCCCGGTGTGGTGGGTGTGGTGTGCAGAGGTGGGGAGGTGGTGAAGGTGGGGACTGAAAGTGCACAGAATCTTGGACCAGGTCTCTCTTACTTGTCCCCCCTGCTTTTCTCCTCCCCCATGCCCAACCCCCGTGGCCGCCGCCCCTCCCCCGCCCCGTTGGTGTGATGATTTCATCTGTTAGATGTGGCTGTTTTGCGTAGCATCGTGTGCCACCCGTGCCCCCCCAGTCCCTGTGTGCGCGCCCCCTCTGCAATGTATGCCCCTTGCCCTTTCCCCACATTAATAATTTATATATATAAATATCTATATGACGCTCTTAAAAAAACATCCCAACCAAAACCAACCAAACAAAACATCCTCACAACTCCCCAGGAACATGGCTGTGACTGGTTCTTTGCCGGACGTCGGGGTGAGGCTGGAATTCAGTTTAGCAGTGCCTAAAGAGAACTACGTAGCCAGGGTCTGGCAGGGAATTGGGAAGGGACCCGACCTCCCTAGGGAACTTGGTGTGGGGGCCGGAAAGAATTGGAGAGGGGATCTCTCAAGAGCCCAGAGCCTTGACTCAGCTGGAGGTGGTACGCCACGGGTGCTCGTGCTGCCTCCTGCCCCAAGGCTGGGAAGTCAAGATACTGGAGGCCTCGGCCGGGACCCTGGCTCATGCCTGTAATCCCAGCACGCTGGGAGGCCGAGGCGGGTGGATTGCTTGAGCCCAGGAGTTGGAAACCAGTTTGGGCAACAGAGAAACCCCGTCTTAAAAAAACAAGTCCGCCAGGCCTTGTGGCGCACATGTGGTCCCAGCTACTGGGGAGGCTGAGGTGGGAGCATCACCTGCGGGTCGAGGCTGCAGTGACTCATGGTCGCGCCACTGGACTCCAGCCTGGGCGACAGAGCAAGGCCCTGTCTCGAAACAAAAGAAACCCCAACCAGCCAAACCCTGGAGGCCGCAGACAGGCCCACCTCTGACGTGGTCAGGCGTAGGCGGCTATTCAGACGTTCCCGTTACGGGTCTTACTGCGGGGAGTCACCGGGCTCCTCTGGAACAAAGGCTTGAGCCCTGACTCCTTTCCGTGGAATACTTGAACGAAACGGTTATGAAGCGGGGGTGGGGGAGCTGGTTTCAGTAGGTCCCGGCGATTAGTACCTGGCAGCATTAACCATCCTACAGCTGGAGAGGGGAGCGGGTGATAATCTCGAGAGCCTGGGAGGGAAGGGAAATCGGGCCGGGCGTTACGCTCCGCCGCCCATCCGTAGGCAAGGCCATTTTGGGAGCGCGCGAGGACGCCTGCTGCCGCGGGCTTTCACAGCGGAATCCAGGTCTCCGGCTTCACCAGCGAAGGGGCTGCGACGGCCTCTTTTCTCAGCCAATCAGCATCGACTTCATTTGCATAGGCGGATAGCAAATGTTCGGGAATCTAGAATGATTTAAGTAAGTTCCTTAGAATAGTACTTTTTCCTAGTGAAAGTCACAACATGCATCGTCGTTTATACAGTAACGGGAACAAGAAAAACGCCACCGGAGCTCACCCTCACCAATTGTGGAGTTCCTGCATATCCCACCTTCTCTCCGGGCGCATGCCTAGCAGTGTTACAGCTCTTTTAGAATTTGTCTAGCAGGCTTTCCGGTTCCTGCCGGAAAGCCCTTTCACGCGGTCCGTTGGTAACAATAGAGTGCTTTGCGTGCGCATGCGCGTGGGCAGTTGTCGCTGTGCTTGCACGCCCGTGTGTAGTGCGCAATTGGCCCCGGCCCCAAAGCTTGCTGTAGTTCTCGAGTGCGGAGGTTCGGGCCGGCTGGAGGGCTTCCGGCTGCGCCTGATGCTGCTTCCTTTCCGGTCTCACTCGCTTTGGGGACTGTGCTAGGACGTGGCTCCTTCTTCCTGAGCGTTCCATTACTTCCCCTACACTTGCAGCCTCTACCTCCCTATGGCGTCCGCCTCGGCCCAGCCTGCGGCTCTGAGCGCTGAGCAGGCGAAGGGTGAGGAACAGCCTAGTCAAGGCGTGGGCTGCCGGACCCGGGAGGAAGCGGGCGGAGGATGTAGGGCGACAAACCTGGCCGTATTTGCCGGGGAAACGGGGTAGGGGTCGCCGGGTACCGTCCTGCTCTTTTAAGTGGGGCGCTTGCCCCCAGCTCGGGATCTTACTGGGTTACCTGCAACCTCAATCCACTAATTCCCTGCGTTCTCCGCTGGGCCCGCTGCCCCTGCTCCCACGCATGCCCGGGACGCCTCCCTGGGATGCTCCGGGCGCGCAGTGGTCCTGGCGGAGGTGATCCAGGCGTTCTCTGCCCCGGAGAATGCAGTGCGTATGGACGAGGCTCGGGATAACGCATGCAACGACATGGGTAAGATGCTGCAATTCGTGCTGCCAGTGGCCACGCAGATCCAGCAGGAGGTTATCAAAGCCTATGGCTTCAGCTGCGACGGGGAAGGTGGGTCAGACGCGGGCAGGCGGTAGGTTGGGGTCGGGAGAGGGCGCGGATCTGTGGACCCCTGAGCGGTTGTCCCCTTTCTCGCCACACGGAGGCAGCCACAGTCTGACTAACCGTGTTGGCATTCAGAGCCCGGGCTCTACCCTGTTTGTGCCTCCGAGTTGCATTTTGCACAGTAGAAGTCCCGTATCCGTTATCCGAAATGCTGGGGACCAGAAGTGTTTCGGGTTTTTTCAGATTTCTAATATTTACATATACATGAGCTGTCTTGGGGGATGGGACCCAAATCTGGACACGAAATTGTTTTGTTTCATATACACACACCTTAAGCGCACAGCCTGTAGGTAATTTTATGTAGTAGTCTGAATAGTGGCTCACGCCTGTAATCCCAACACTTTGGGAGGCCGAGGTGGGCGGATCATCTGAGGTCGGGAGTTCAAGACCGTCTCTACTAAAATTACGGTCTTGGGTGCTCGCTTCGGCAGCACATACACTAATATTGGAACGATACAGAGACGATTAGCATGATCCCTGCGCAAGGATGACACGCAAAAATTCGTGAAGCGTTCCATATATATATATAATTTAAATTACGGTCTTGGAGAAACCCCGTCTCTACTAAAAATATATAAATTAGCCAGCTATGGTGGCACATGCTTGTAATCCCAGCTACTCGGGGGCCTAAGGCAGGAGAATTGCTTGAACCCGGGAGGCAGAGGTTGCCGTGAACCAAGATCGTGCCATTGCCCTCCCACCTGGGCAACAAGAGGGAAACTCTGTCTCAAAAAAAAAAAAAAAAAAAAAGTCTGAATAATTTTGTCCATGAAACAAAAGTTTTGACTGCGTTTTACTACAGTCAGCTCCACCCCCACCGTGAAGTCAGGTGTGTAATTTTCCATTTGTGGCCTCACATTGGCACTCAGATGATTTCAGATTTTGGATTTTCTAATTAAGGATCATCAACCTGTGCTGTCAATCACATTATCATTCCATTTTGTGAAGAGGGAGCAAACTCTAATGGTGCAGACTAGTCGTAGCAGAGCTGGACTTAGACGCTGTTCTGCCACCTTTGAGTGAGATGTCTGCAGTCCCTCCAGGGTGCTTCAGCTAGTTTCTGTTCAGGGGTTGGTGGTTAAATTTTTGGTGAGATCCTGGTGTTCCCCAAAGGTGTTGACTGAGGCAGCTCTGCTGCCCCATAGCATTCCTGTATTCCAGCTACAGACGTGGGATCTCGTGGGTGTTCATACTTGGGGTTCTTGTGACGAAACTGCTAGAACTGTTCACTTGAGGGCGAGAAGCACACTGCTTTGGGACATCTTCATTCACTGCACCCCATCCAGTTGTGCCCAACGTAGAACAAGAAGTTGATCCAAACGACATGGGGCAGAGTCCTGCACGTGCTGTTTTGCAAACAGCTGCCCTGCCAGTGGGGAAGCAGCTCAAGCTCAGACTACCACCCCCTCCACCTATCTTAGGCATGCTGGTCCTTAGGAGACGCATTGACCCCTCATTCCCTCTTGCAGGTGTTCTCAAGTTTGCCCGCTTGGTCAAATCCTACGAAGCCCAGGATCCTGAGATTGCCAGCCTGTCAGGCAAGCTGAAGGCACTGTTCCTGCCACCCATGACGCTGCCACCCCATGGACCTGCTGCTGGTGGCAGCGTGGCTGCCTCCTGAGAGTAGTTGGCCCTCTCTTGTGCCACTGCCAGGGAAGGAAAGGCCTTGATGTTCCAGACAATAATAAACGTGTCTGCGACTCTGTGACTTAGCCTTCGTGTCAGTCTTTTTTTTTTTTTTTTTGAGACAAGTCTCACTCTGTCACCCAGGCTGGAGTGCAGTGGCGCGATCTCAGCTCACTGCAACCTCTGCCTCCCAGGTTCAAGCGATTCTCTTGCCTCAGCCTCCTGAGTGGCTGGGACTACAGGCGCGTGCCACTGCGCCCAGCTAATTTTTGTATTTTTTTTTTTTTTTTGAGACGGTGTTTCGCTCTTTTTACCCAGGCTGGAGTGCAATGGTGCGATCTCGGCTCACCGCAACCTCCGCCTCCTGGGTTCAGACAATTCTCCTGCCTCAGCCTCCGGAGTAGCTGGGATTACAGGCACACGCCACCATGCCCAGCTAATTTTTTGCACCTTTAGTAGAGACGGGGTTTCACCATGTTGACCAGGATGGTCTCGATCTCTTGACCTCGTGATCCACCCGCCTTGGCCTCCCAAAGTGCCGGGATTACAGGCTTGAGCCACCGTGCCCGGCCAATTTTTGTATTTTTAGTAGAGACGGGGTGTCAACATCTTGGCCAGGCTGGTCTTGAACTCCTGACCTTATGATCCACCTGCCTCGGCCTCCCAAAGTGCTGGGATTACACTGTGCCCGTGTCAGTCTTTTGTGCACCTGACAACCCCCACCTCTCCTTCCCAGATTCACTCTGCCTGTCCAGGCCGCATCCCCCTGAACAGCTCTTTCCTATACTCCTGGCTGGGCCTAACCTTGCTCCAGTGAGGGCTGAGGCTCCTCCCCTTTCCCCAGGGCAGAGTAAGAGGTTGGACTGGGCCCCTCGGCGCCCTGGGTGGGTGGGCCTGCACAGGGCGCACCTCCTTCTCTGAGGAATTGGGCTGTCAGGGCTTTTCTCGGGCCCTCTGGTTTGCGCCTACTGAGAGATTTCCCCCATTGGTTGTTCTTCCCTCAGCCAGGGTTACTTCCTGGTCTTGGCCCCTACCCAACCTCCCGCCGCCTGTCAGCTTGAGCTCCAGGTGGCTCCTCCTCTCCCGAGGGAAGGCAGCCCTGGACCTGCAGGAGGGACTGCTGGACCCGGCACTGGGGCTGCAGGGAAGCTGGCTGCTGTGGGCGGTCTCAGGCCAGCCCCGCCCCACCTGTCCTTTTCCAGGAGACTATTAGTCCAGGGTTTGTCCCTGCGGTGCCATTGGCCTGGCAGGCTGGATTGAGGAGGAAGTGGCTGATTTCTGAGCGGTTCTTCCTCACCTGGCTTGGGCCAAGGTGCACAGCTGTGCCACCGGCTCAGCCCCGCCCCCTGAGGCCCTCTGCCTTGACTTCATCCCTCCAGAGAGATGCTGTCCCGTGGGTAAGTCGGTGCACCACCTGGGTCCCAGTCTCCTGTTCGTTTTGGAGGAAGGGAGGCCTTGTTCATGCTCACTGCAACAAGTGTGTGAGCCTGAGTGCGATCTGCCGCTGCCCTGCCCTGCGCCTGCTTCCTGTCCCTATGAACCTTCCCTTCCTGCAAGGTGTGAGGACCCCGGGCTCATTCGTGCCCCTCTGCCCCCTCTTTAACATTTTCCCCTGACAAGTGTGTATCTGTTCTCTCCATTGCATTTCTACCTCCAGCCTCTGGGCTCCTGCTTCTGCCTCCTGCTTGGGACCTGTCCCCTTGGGTAGCTCACATCACCTCAAACATAGCAGCAGTCAGAGGCCGCCCGCGAAGGCCTCCCTTGCCCAGCCAACTTCCCTGCTCTTCCCAGCATCTGACTTTGGTCCCATCTTCTTTCCGTTTCCTTTCACTTCCCTTTCCTTTGTATGATTCATTCAACAGATACGTGCTGAGCATCTATTGCGCACAGGGTGCTGTTTAAGATGCTGGTAATACTGGAGTGGACAGGACAGACATGGTCCCTGCTTTCACGGAGCTTATGTTCCAGTGGGAGGTTACAGACCGAACAAGTAACCCAATAAATTGGATCATTTCAGAGTCTCAGAAGTGTTATGCAGAAAATGAAACAGCCTCAGCTGGGTGTGGTGGTCCACGCCTGTGATCCCAGCACTTTGGGAGGCTGAAGAGAGAGGATTGCTCGAGGCCAGGAATTTGAGACCAGCCTGTCCAATATAGTGAGACCCTGTCTCTACAAAAAATAAGCTGGGTGTGGTGGCACACGTCTGTGTTTCCAGCTATGGAGAGGCTGAGGTGAGAGGCTTGCTTGAGCCCAGGAGGTCAAGGCCGCAGGGAGTGGTGATTGTACCACTGCACACCAGCCTGGGCAACAGAGTGAGACCTTGTCTCAAAGAAAAAAAAAAAAAAGAAGAAAATGAACCAGCTTCATGTGCTAGCAAGTGACTGCGTGTGCAGGTGACGTTACTAGCTGGAGGGATCAGGGAGGGCTTCTTGAGGAGGTGACATTTGACCTGAGACCTGGATGAGGAGGAAGAGGAGTGGAGAAAGAGAGAGAGGGAGGGAGAAAGGAAGGAAAGCGAGAGAGAGAAGGAAGGAAGAAGAAAGAAAAGACTGATACGGTGATCGAGAGTCCAGCATCTCTGGGCAGAGGAGATGGAGCGCACAAAGCTCTAATGTGGGAGCAAACAAAAAAAGGACAGTGTGCCGTGAAGCAGTGACAGAGGACCCTAGAGGAGCAGAGGCGGGGCCAGGGCAGGTTAGACTCTGTTGGACCTGGGATGGTGAAAGTGAAAACCTGGCTGGGCGAGGTGGCAAACACATGTGATCCCAGCAGTTTGGGAGGCTGAGGTGGGAGGATTGCTTGAGCTCAGTGATTTGAAACCAGCCTGGGCAACATAGAGAGATGCCATCTCTATTTAAAAATATATATATTTGGCCGGGCGCAGTGGCTCAAGCCTGTAATCCCAGGACTATGGGAGGCCGAGCTGTGTGGATCATGAGGTCAAGAGATCGAGACCATCCTGGCCAACATAGTGAAACCCTGTCTCTACTAAAAATATAAAAAATTAGCTGGGCATGGTGGCGCTTGCCTGTAATCCCAGCTATTCATGAGGCTGAGGCAGGAGAATTGCCTGAACCCGGGAGGCGGAGGTTGCGGTGAGCCGAGATCGCGCCATTGCACTCCAGCCTGGGTAACAAGAGCGAAACTCCGTCTCAAAAAAAAAAAAAAAAAAAAAAAAAAATCCAAGCACTTTGGAGGCCAAGGCGGGTGCATCACCTGAGGTTGGGAGTTCAAGAACAGCCTGACCAACATGGTGAAACCCCGTTTTGAAAAATAAAAAATAAACAAATAAAAAAAATATATATATAGGGTATGATGGCCCAAGCCATCATAGTCCCAGCAGTTTGGGAGGTGGGAGGATCACTTGAGCTCAGGAGTTTAAGAACACTCTGGGAAACACAGGGAGACCTCATTACTACTGCTACTACTACTAATAAATAGCCGGGTATGGTGACACACACCTGTGGTCTCAGCTCCTTGGGAGGGTGAGGCAGGAGGATCACCGGAGCCCAGGAGGTTAAGGCTGAAGTGAGCTGTGATTGTGACACTGTACTCCAGCCTGGATGACAGAGCAAGATTCTGTCTCAAAAAAAGAGAGAAAGGAGAGAAAGGAAGAAGAAAGAGAGAGAAAGGAAGAAAGAAAGAAAAAGAAGAAAAGAAAAGAAGAAGGAAGGGAGGGAGGGAGGGGCCAGGTGCAGTGGCTCACGATGTCCCAGTACTTTGGGAGGTCGAGGCAGGCAGATCACAAGGTCAAGAGATTGAGACCATCCTGGCCAACATGGTGAAACTAAAAATACAAAAATTAGCTGGATGTGGTGGCATGTGCCTGTAGTCCCAGCTATTCAGGAGGCTGAGGCAGGAGAATTGCTTGAACCAGGGAGGCAGAGGTTTTGGTGAGCCAAGAGCCAAGATTGTGCCCCTGCACTCCAGCCTCGTGACAGAGTGAGACTCTGTCTCAAAATTTAAAAAAATGAAAGGAAGAAAAAGTGACAGCCTGCTTATAGAGTACTGGCGAGATTGTGGGTGTGTGGCTCCCCAGCCCTACTGATTCTTGCTTCTCACACTCACCTCTGCTCCTGCCCCAGTGCGCATCTTGTCACTGTCTGCCCCACCGCCGGGGTTCCTACTGAGTCTTCTGGTCCTGAATCCCTTCCACGGCCATTTTCCTCCCAGGTAGCTTGGCCAGGCCTCCCCTTGTGCAGATTCCGTCCTTGGTTTCTCAGCCTGGCCTTGAATGACCCTCTGCAGCAGGGTCCCAACCTCTCAGAGCAACTTCGCTCCAGCCACACAGCTCTGCTCACAGCCAGGCACTGCGCACATGAGCTCTGTGAGCGCCACCTCTTTGCCTTGACACGTGCTGCCTCTGGGGGAGCACTTCTCCCTCCGCCTTCCATCACGGGCTGTGGCAGTGCCCATCCCGTCTGCCCCCTGATGCCGTCTGCAGCGGTGTGGTTGGTGGTGGAAAGGGCACCAGGCTCTGGCATCTCACAGCCTTGTTTTACCCGCCTTCCCATTCACTAGCTTGTGACCTTGGCCAGTTGCTTAACATCTATGAGTCTTAGTTTCTGTTTCTAAAATTGGGTAGATAACACCTACTAAGTAGGGTTGGCCTGAGGATTAATAGCATGATGTAAAAGCTGTTGGCACTGAAACCATGCCACTTAACAAGCTTCTCACATGCGCGGGTATTTGGGAAATACTGTTAAGTTCATTTGTCCGGCGGTGATACTGAGGCTCAGAGAAGTTAAAAAACTTTCTACAGGTTATTTTGCCTGGTTTGCTCTTCCAGACCGCATATCTTCTTCTTGTATCACCATTGATCTTGATCTTTACGATTCTTTTTTTTTTTTTTTGCAGATGAAGTTTCACTATGTTAGCCAGGCTGGTCTTGAACTCCTGACTTCAGGTGATCCCACCCACCTTGGCCTCCCAAAGTGCTGGGATTATAGGCATGAGCCACCGTGCCCAGCCCAATCTCTACGATTCTTAATTTTTTTTTTGGTTTTTTTTTTTTTTGAGACGGAGTTTCGCTCTTGTTACCCAGGCTGGAGTGCAATGGCGCGATCTCGGCTCACCGCAACCTCCG